GTATATGAATTATATCTTGAGTGAATGATGAATAATCCATGACTAGGCCATCTTCAACACTTCAGAGTTTGTAAATATTTAACTATATAATAGTCACCTTTTTTTGTAAATTGAACTATTTTGTCAAAGTTTGTTTAGGGCAGCTTCAGAAGTTGTTCAAATTTCCACCCAAACCCAAGTCAATGTTCATTTAAGTTATTTAACATAACCTTGTATGTAGAAGGTGTGCTCATGGGTTTTCATTTTCTATGAAGAAATTTAGGGAATTTTGATGCCGATTTCACTGAATTGTAGATTGCTTTTACTATTATGGCCATTTCTACAATATTAAAACTACCAATCTATGAGCATTGGAAGTCTTTCTTTCCATCATGCGGTAGTTTCATTTGTTTTTCAGTGTCTTAAATTTCTCATCATCCTGGGGTCCTGTGCATACAGTTAGATGTTAAGAGCATAATTTATGCTGGTATAATTGAATCTAGATATGAAAATACGACCAACAGAAACATAAGATTTTACATAAAGGTGTAAAGTGATATATTTGTCATTGATTTAAGGAGTCTGACTATCTGACAAGTTGGCAATTAAAGGAGATATTTTGCTCACCAGAGGGTGATGTACAGAAGATAATAGATGTTCTAAATTACAAGTCAAAGACACAAAATAAGAAACTTCATGAATGATGGGAAAAGGCAATCCTAATGTGGATTTAAAGATTATTTAAAAAATGTTTTTTCATTATTTGACCAAAAAGAAAATATGCATGTTCTTAATAAAAAATAGTAAAAATAGCCAAATATTTTAATTAACATTATTCTTAAGTGCTACGCAGGTCATATAGGATGAGAAACTGTGAAAATGGAAAATTTCTGTTGTAACCTTATCCAGTTGTATGACAGATTCTGTTTATGCCAATTTGCCGATGGGAATGACGTGCTAATGAAAGCTGATTCTTTTGAAACTTTTAGAGTGAATGAGCCTTTGTACATCTATACATAGAACTCCTGAATATGTCTATTATAAGCAAACAAAGAAAATTAAAGAAAACAATGCTTCAATATCACATTCACCTTTTAAGTTAATGGAGAAGACAATGAAAGCAAGGAACATCTTATAACATTTTTCAGTTATAGTAGGGCAGACACATCCTCACTGAGAATGGTGAAAGGTGTTGACTAAGCATTCTGAGGAGACCGCCAACCTCATCTATCTTACATGGAGCAGTAGGAAACCCACCAATATTAACGGAGCCCCATAGGTGAATACATTGGCTTAGCTTTATTTGAAAGGCTGAGTACTTTGATACTTGTGGGAAAAAAATCAGTATTGACTCTAATGCTCACCAGACATTAATAAACTGGCATAACAAATTTTTATGCCTGTTCATCTGTTTGTTTATTTGTGTATCTGTCTATTAATCCACTTTTCTGTCTATTGATCTATATTGAACAAACTGTCTGAGTTGCTCCCCAAAAAGTTAGCCCCCAAAATTCATAGCTTCTGTGATTTCATATAGGTTACTTAAAGTTTTAAGATAGTGGTATCTTGACTGGTCAACATAATTTTCTTTTCCTTTTATACATTAAAATAAGTTTGAGAGATTCATATAGCTACTGAGTTTTTTAAGTTTTAAAAGGAAATTAATTAATTTCAAATGGAACAATTCAATTTAAGCTGAAATTACTAATTTTTCTCTAAGGAATACCTATAAAGCTTCAACTATATAAGAATCTCATGTTGGATTTCAAGCGAATGCAAGAGTCATCTTTGGGGGTTAGTGATGCACCATCTAAATCAGCAGATACTGGGGTGCAGTTATGGTAAAAGTGATACTTTTTTAAGGTGGTATTTTTTTAAATTTTTCTAGACAGAATTTCTCTGTAGATTTGGAACCTTCCCAGGAACTAACTTTTGTCGAGCAGGCTGGCCTTGAATTAACAGAATCCACCTGAGGACAAAAGGAGTACATCACCATGGCCTGGCCTATGATCATACTTTTAAAGTAGTAAAACAATTTTCTGGGAATATCTAAATAAATTACAAACTGTTAAGCTTTTATTTAAAGTATTTCATCCAAATGTTTATGCCAATAGGGGCACATACTAGATACTCTTTAGAATGAATGGAGTCCAACGTATGTTGTACCCTCTCAACTTTGCTCCAATCTCAGTTGGATGAACTGAAACCAAACTGTTCAGCCAATATCCAAGGTGCAAGCTTTATACAAAAAAATAAATTAGAATATGAAAAGGATATATTAAAGAAGCATAGCATGATTCATAATAAGCAAATGATTTGCCAATCTGTTCCATCCTTGTGTATAGTTTACCTCCCAGTAGAAAGGTCAATTTTAACTGAAAATTTTATTGATTCTGCAGAGACAAAAGACAATGCCCTTCAGCTTACAAACACTTGTATATTCTGATTAATTAATTAATATATTTTTGAACTGTGTGAGTTACATAAATTTCAAATAAGTCTTGTTTGTAATTGTTTCTGAGTGTATACTGTCTGTACATAGTTTTTGTAAATCTTTACTTTTTCAAATGTTAAAAGGCCAATTTTTGAATACTAAGATATTTCACATTGAATACAATATGCTTAAAGCTGTTATATGTAAATTGTATATGCAAATCTGTTAAATACATAACATCAGGTAAAAAATATAAATCTTTAAATTTGGCACTATATAATATGTGACATAAGAAGATTTTCATATAAAACAGAGACTCTGTGAGTATATTTCATTCAGACCTCTTCACCAGACCGTTTTTTCAGCTCTGCATACTAGCATCTATTATGTCTCTTTGTTTCCCTACATTACTATCAACTGTATGTATATAATTGTATGTATCTATATAAAATATTAAGAATGGAGGAGGGATAACATGTTTATCTTTCTAAGACTGGATTTATTTATATCTATTTAACTTCTATTTCTATTATAAAATTTAGATTATTTTATAATTAGCAACATAATAAAATGCAAATTAATAATAATATATTAATGTCACTACACAAAGTATGTTGTATAATGTATATTTATATTATATAATTATTTAAATATTATTAACATAATAAGTCAAAGGAAAGTAAAGAGGAAGATCATTAATTTGAGGGTGAGATAAAGTATGAGCATGGGAGTGGTTGGAGGAAGAAAAGGTGTTTGATTCAATTATATTTTATTTTCCTAAAAATTTAAGAGTTTTTATTTATATATTTTCATACTTTTTTTGAAAATTAAAGTAAATTACAAATTTCCCTACCCTACTTCCAACCCTTCCCTCGAAGAACTTCTTGCTCTCTGTAAAATTCAGGGCCTCTATATCTTTAATCATTGTTACATATATCCATACATTTTTGTAAGTATGTAAATACAACGTCTTAGTCCATATAATGATATTTCTTTTTATATGAGTTCATAGCCGATCACTTGATATTGATATTGGTTAACCAATTAGAGTGGGTTTCTCTGTGAAAAAGTCAATTTGTTCCACTCTCAGCATTCTATAGAATTGTCTTCAGTTCTATAGGGTTGAGGTCCCATGAAATTTTTTTCTCCTATGTTAGCATGTCTTCTGGGATCATTTTTTTCAGAAATGTATTTATAATAATAGCATTTGCAATGTTTCTGACAGTTCAACACTGGAAATGACTTGCTATAACACTGTGCAACTTTCAGATACAGAATTTAGTACGGAGCAGAACATATGGATAATTTTCATTTAACTACAGAAGCAAGAGAAGAAACCCAAACTCAGATTTCCCTTCAGATCACAAGACAACTGGGGAGGCAAGAGTCTTTCTGTCAATGCCTGGGGATGCATGTTCTCTAGAGTGAATGAAAAGGAGGAGTGTAATTGTGGGTCCCTCAGGTAATTAGGATTGTGATCCAGGGTGGATTCACTTTCCTCCGAGCCCTCTTTGATTTAAATGTTCTTCTGTAGAGACATTCTTCTGCCCTGCTTGTAAACACATACATCCTGAGGTTAAAGGGCAATTTCTCTGCTTCCAGAAAATACTCAAAAGATTAATCATAATGTTCTGCAATTCAGAAAATGGTACAGGAAAATTTAATCTTATGTATGTCTTCTTTGAATTGAAATATCTGAAACCTCTGAATCTGAAATATTTATCCTGATAAATAAGGATTAATGGAAAAGTAAGAAACCGCTAATGTTTGGATTGAAAATTGTGAATTTCTGAATTTCAGGTATACTAACACCTTCCTTTTCTTTCTTTTTAAATGAATGTTTTTATTGTATTGATACAAGATAATTTTCACATAGTATAGTCTGATTACAGCTTCTTCACTTTCAACTCCTCTGATGTCCTCCTAGCTTCTTCTCTTATCCAAAATCCATTCCCTTTCTGTTTCTTAAAATAAAATGGATGTTAGCAACTTCTTCCCTGTCCTGTTCAAAATGACATCAAAATGAAACAGTCAGAAGAAGATGGATTAGAGTGAGATGTTGGTGGCCAGGGGAGTTGCAGCATCTTTGTTAGAGGTTTCTTGCCTGGTCAAGGTTCAAGTCTTCTGGAGTCATGACTCTGATACTGGTGCAGGAAACATTCTTGCATACCTCTCTTTTTCTTTTAGTTTTAGATTAGGCTCATGATTTTCATTCACACCACAGCAAAAGTGAATCTGGAGCAGCTGGAAAACCTGTGTTTTCCATGCATCTACTTCCAATTCTGTTATATGGAGGTCTGTATTAAAAAAAAAAAAAAAAAAAACAGGAAATAGGAGAATAATGAATCCTTCTCAGTGTATTCTCCTTTATCTTGTGATTTATTTTAGAAATCGTAAAATTTCAGTATCAATTTCTTCCTTAGTTAAGATAATTTGTTTGTGACTGTAACATTGATTCTACATGCATAGTGGCGCTTGAAAAATTATTTCCAGCATATATATCATGAACGGAAAGGACGCATGACTAGTGTGAATATTTCACTAATACAGCTCTACTCTCTGTGTCCACAGATTCCTTTAGAGAAAAATGGACACAGTAAATGTCTCAGTGGTGACTGAATTCATTCTGGTAGGATTTTCAGACCAGCCTGATCTCCAAATACCCCTGTTCTTTCTGTTTCTAGCAATGTATCTTACCACTGCATTGGGAAATTTGTGTTTGATATTTCTAACTGTGCTGAATTCTCACCTCCACACTCCTATGTACTTTTTTCTCTTTAACTTGTCCTTTATAGACCTCTGCTATTGTTCTGTGTTCACTCCCAAAATGCTGATAAACTTTGTATTAAAGAAAAATGTAATTTCTTACAATGAATGTATGACCCAAGTCTATTTCTTTTGTTTTTTTGTTATTTCTGAGTGCTATGTGTTGACTTCAATGGCCTATGATCGCTACATGGCCATCTGTAACCCATTGTTGTATAATATTGTCATGTCTCCTACATTATGTTTGAATCTTATGCTTGGTTCATACTTTATTGCATTTTCTGATGCTGTAGCTCACACTGTGTGCATGCTGAGACTGACCTTCTGTGATGCCAACACCATTAACCACTATTTCTGTGATATTCCTCCTTTGCTCCAGCTTGCATGCACAAGCACATACGTCAACGAATTTGTCATTTTTGTTGTTGGGAGCATCAACATAATTGTTCCTACTTCTACTATCTTTATCTCCTATGGGTTCATCCTTTCCAGCATCGTCCACATCAGTTCCTCTGAGGGCAGGTCCAAAGCCTTCAGCACCTGCAGCTCTCACATCATTGCTGTTTTTCTGTTCTTTGGTTCAAGTGCACTTGTGTACTTCAAACCCTCCTCAGCTGGGTCTTTGAATGAAAGAAAAATCTCTTCTGTCTTTTATACCAATGTGGTCCCCATGTTGAATCCCTTAATCTACAGCTTAAGGAACAAAGATATTAAAGTTGCCTTTAGAAAAACCCTGAGCAGCAGGAAGTTCTAAATGGACAGGTTTGTCTTTATGCCTCTTATTTTTACACAGAAGTAGTTCCAATTGATGTGTAATATTATATTGGGAGACATCTTTTTCTTTCATAGAAAATGTTTCACATCTCACTTTATTTTTTCCAGTTTAAGAACAGGTAGAATCTCTTGGTATAATCTTGAAGCTACATCTGATTCTTTCTTCATTAAATAAAGTCTGAGTCTTCTAGATTTCATTTTCATATTTCTAGTCTTGGACATCTTCTTTTAAGTCATGTATACCATTTCCATGCTCGGTCTTATTTAAAAAAATAATATTATTGAAACAATTTAGCCTTTCCCCATTCATTAAAAATTTGCCTTTTTCCCCTCTATCAACTAAATCAGGTCTTCAAATAGACAAGTGAAGCAACACTAGTATGGTGGTTTCAACTGTGTGTGGGCTTCTCATTTTGAATACATGTTTAATTAATTAATTAAATTTAAGTAATGTGTAACTCAAACATCTGATTCTTTTTTATTTACATTTTTCCATGAGAAAGCAACATATCCCTTTTAATTGCCAGTGTATTAGGTATGATTTATTTGTTATTGATAGCTTATTGCAAACTATAGAGTATCCTAATTGTTTCAGGTTTCAAGTGACCTATTAATTCACATGTTCTTTTGAATATTTTATTACTATTTTGGAAATATGAGCATGAGACTATATTTCATCTTTAAAACTGTATTATGGTTGTCTGTTGTGGACTCCTGTGTTTAGAGTTTCTACAGTGGTCACTTTATTTTGAATTGTTCCTTTGGTTAGAACAAGCCAGGAGTTTTGCAGTAATGAGTTTAGTTCATTTACAAAATTAAAATTATATAATTGTAATGTTTCAAGTATCTAGTAACTCAATAAATAAAGTCCAGGGACAGAAAGTGTGCCAGCAAAAGTCATTAAAGCAGGAGTCACAAATAGGGACAGTCAGTAGTTTTCTCCTGCAATTGGCTCATTGAGTGGTTCTGGCAAACACAGTATCATCAGAATCTTAACTTTCTTCTGTTGAGCATTGCAAATATTTCCCTTGTTTTATTAACCTCGCATTATCTTTCTCACCAACAATGACTGTGCATTAGTATTGTTTGGGGTAATGAAGATTACTTTATTGGGAAATGAAGGCAGGCTACATTTGCTGAGTCCAAGTAGAGTGAGGACAGCTAAGTCAAGGAATAAAAAGAGTGGCCATTGAGACTCTAGTTAGGATGAGAGCTTCACACAGTGCAGGGCAGTCAATGGAAGCCTCTCTGGCTTCTTTTAGCATTCCTGGAACTTGATGTTGTAGGGGCTATGAGAGTGGCTCCAGCTCACACTCAGGGTGCCGAAGGCAAAATGCTTTTCAGGAATGAAGGTGGTATAAAAGATTTCTACAATAACTTTACATAGGCTAATGCTCTTCTCAAGTGCTCTTTTTTTGTTCTTTTTCTATGCTGATGATAGTGTCCTACATCTAGCTTTTATATACTTATTCTAAAATCTATAGGAGCCTTGAAGCAAAGAAGAACTAAGTCACTCACCATGGCAACACAAAGGTCCAAGACCATAGTAGCAAAACCTCAACAAGACAAGGGGGTGCACAGTTTCCAATGGCAACTTTGAGACACAGATCCATTGTTAGTAGATTTGCATGTTAAGAATTGGCATGCTTTTCTTATAACCTTGGTTGGACTTTTGTGACTCTTAGCTTTCGTTTTTTTCATTTTCTATTGTTTTTATGGAGCTACATATTTTTCTCTGCTCCTCTCCCTTCCTCCCCTTTCCCTTTTACCATGTCCTTTTATCCCCATGCTCCCAGTTTACTCAAGAGATCTTGTCTTTTTCTACTTCCCATGTATATTAGATCCGTGTGTGTCTCTCTTTGGGTTCCCTTTGTTTTGTAGGTTCTGTGGGGTTGTGAATTGTAGGATGATTTTCTTTTCTTTATGCCTAAAAGCCACTTATGAATGAGTACATAATATATATATGTATAAAATATATACATATATATATCTTTATGGGTCTGGGTCACCTCACTTAATATGATGTTTACTTCATCCATACATTTGCCTGCAAATTTCAAGACGTTATTATTTTTCTCACTGTGTAGTATTCTATGGTGTATAGTTTTCCTTTCACAAAAAGTCTTTAGTTTAGTTGAACTTATTCTGAGGTGAAAATGAGCTAATTATGTGTAGTTAGGAAGGCAGGCTTGTAGGTGTCTGTAGTCCTTGTGGAACAATATATCTAACTATGAAGAATGTCCCAGTATATATTCTTCATATCAAAACTACATGACTAAATGAAGAAGTCATATATTTGACCATCCACAGATATGGATGCTCATATGAATGAGATGCAATCATAAGATTACATGTATGAAAATGCATTATATTAGGGAGATATCATAGCTGTTATTATACAAGTGAAATTACAGAAAAATAAGAACAGTTTTCAAAATAAGTTGTAATTGTATTGTGGCATGTAATAGCTCATAATAAACGCAACTAACAACCTGGAAATTGTGAAGATTGAAACATATCTCTGGAGGGGTTAAAAAACTTAATTGACAATTAAGAAAAGTTTAACCCAAAGGAAGTTAGAGATAAGTAAATTATTCCATCATTGTTGACTTTCATATGGGCTTCCCATAGAGGATTTCTCTGCAAAATGAACAAAATATCTACCAAATGGACCGTAATAGCATAATAAATGTATCAAGCCCAAAGAGATTATTTCCAAATAAATACTTAAGAGCTGCCTTTTTCCCTTTGTGAAACAATGTGAGTGGATAAAGTGTTTATAGTCAAGAGTCTTTTTAAGACAATCACCTGAAACTGGGCTGTGGTATCACACACCTTTAATCCTAGCACTTGAAAGGCAGAGATGGGCAAATCTCTATGCATTTAAGGCCATTCTGGTTAGTTCCAGGACAGTAAGGACTGTTTCACAGAGAAACCTGTCTCAAGGAAACAAAAGAAAAAACAAACAAACAAACAAAAACAAAAAAAGGAAAAAAAAGCAAATTATGAAACATGAAAAATTGTAGTTACTCTGGCAAGACTTTTCATTCTAGATAGATAGAGGCTATCCTCCACAGTGTTTAGGAACAGAAGAATCCCATGCATCCTGTTATCCTGGTTTTGCTTTCTCAAAATATAAATTAGTGAGAGGATGTTATATATTAATGTAACATCAATCATGAACAGAAGTAAAGCATATTCACTATGGAGGGCAATCACTTTTTAGACAGTACAGGACACACCCAGACACAAAGTTATTGGCATAGGGAGAACAAGTCGGGCAGGGAAGAGAGAGGCGCTGCATCTGGATCTGGCAAAGAGCAAGCAACAAGCAAAAACTAAAGTTTTTTCACTTATTTATTTATTTATTTATTTTATTTCTTTCTTCAATAGTTGGTTTTTAAGGAGAAAAAAATGGAAATGTATGTTAGGATGAATTGGGAAATCCTAGTTAGCTAGGTTAGCCAAGTGATGAATTTCGATTATTAGACCTTCATGTTTTGTCTCAGAAATAATTCAGTTGAACAGAATGGTAGAGTGCAATAAAGATTATTTTTTATTAATAGCGCTTTAAAGAGAGTGTATTTTCATTCGAATTTATAGAACTTCATTTTACCCTCCTCTACTATCTCAATAAAGTCTCTTGAAATTTGAAAATTTTTTTCAAGTATTTGTTAGAAGTATTTTTATAATTGCTGTATGCTAGGGTCAAACCGAGGGATTCACTTCAGTTAGTAAGTACTCTAATACTTACCTATATCCTCAGAAAATTATTATGTCCACTCCATTTGCTAACACTAACAATCTAATAAGGAATTTAATAATTCTATGCACCAAAAAGACGAATAAAATATCGGAGAATTAAAGTATTATTCATAATAAAAGCCCCAACAAATTTACACTGAAAACTGTCTAACATTGTTAAAAGAAGTGAATCATTAATTCACATAAATATACTTGCTCATAACTTAGATATGTCATGGTTGATATAATGCTTCCACAGTCAGGCAGGCACATGCTCTTGCCACCTGCATGCCTACACACACATGTGCACCCACACAACAGAAATAGGCACATATCATACCACAAAATGTAATTAATGAGGAATTAACCAAAGAGCTGAAAAATTTGTAGGAGAAAACCAAAAAACCCTGCTTTAAGAAATTAATGAGATAACCACACAGAAAGCACAACTTTTAATAAGTGGACAGAAAAAAACTTACTAGTGTTGTCAATACTTTTCCAAAGCTGTCAGTAGAATCAGTGCTATACCTATCACATCCCAATGATATTTTAAAATTAACATTCATAAATATCAAGAAACTATGAATATGCAAAGCAACCATGAGAAAAATATAGATTACTCCCATATCCAAATTTCAAAACTTATTAAAAGCCTATGGTGATCCAAATATTGTGGTATGGAGATAAAAGAGTCTTGAAACACTGTTTAAGAATAAAGTCATTCGAGGAGAATTCTGAGTGCTTCTAGAAATACTCCAAGAAAACAAGACAAGTATCTTATGACTTCAGTTTCTTCAAAAATGCAGAACTATTCTTGGAATATGCTTTTGTGCCCTTCCAGGTGTAGCAGTTATCTGTGAATTAATCTCATATTATTCATTACAACTGGCTATTGTTATTTGTTTATATTACTCTATGGAAAAACATCTGTGTCACATGTGGTTTGTACTTGTGATTACACAGTTTACTCAAGCAACACTTTTTTACCCTTAAAGTATAAATCATCTGATATTCTGATTACCGTTGTCTATTGCATGAGACTATAGCCCACCTCATTTATAAGACCCATTCTAATAGTTCCCACTGCCTCAAGAGTGGTAGAAAAAAAAACAAAAAGAGATGGAATAGAGAACCCAGAAACAAGTTCTGAGTTGAAGGTTTAAGGAACATTTGAAGAAGTTTCCAAGAACATATGTCAAGGGGGGATGGTCACTCTTTTCAAGTAGGGATAACTGA